CGACGAGCGCTTCATCGCGGGCCTGCGCTTTGTGATGGCCGGGAGAGGCGCCGGTGGGTGCTGTCCCGCGATGAGCTCCTGACGCGTCGGACGCCGCGATCTGCGGCGGTGCTGCTCTTGCGACGGCGCGACAGTGCGCTGCTGGCGCGAAGGCGCGCCCGAGCTGCTGCCTGAGCCCCTGAGCTTCCTTCCGGAGCGCTTCAGCTGGTGGTCGGTGGGCGGCGAGAACTGCAACACCCGCGGCGCCGGCGGCGACAGAAGCACGTCCTCACGGCACTCGATCGCCGGCGTGGACTGCGCGAAAAAACGCCGGCCCTGCTGCGAGGTTACGCAGAGCGTATCCCAAGCAGCTCGGAGCATGTTAAACATTTCGGTCGGTTTTCGCGCGAACGAGCACTCCCGCTTTTTATGGATCGAGAAAGAATTCTCAACAGGCATGTCCACCCATACCGCGCTCGAGGTATCTTGTTGGCAAAGCAAGACACAGAGCTCACACAAAATCACAGTGGGTGGTAAGCGAACGAGTCACTTAACAGGGGTCGATTATACTCGAGTAGCGAGATGTCTGTGTGAACAGGGACATGTGCGGGACGTGTCAGGCCGGCTTGCTTATTGCTCTGTTTGTCGGACGTCCGCTCAACCGCGGCTTGGCTGATGTAGTCTTGCTTGTATCGTTCCTGTACGCCTTGGTACAGACCCTCGCTCCGTGTACAGCTCTGAGCTCAGTAGAATCCCTACAAAAGGTATTTCCTGGCGCTTCGCTTTGGGGTCGGCTCGCGCTGCGAAAACACAATGTTGCGCGTCCTTGCGCCGCTCCGCCCCTCCTTCTTCGCTCAGAAGCTCGGCGGCGGACGGCCCGGCGAGGTCTCGTTCTGCCCCGCGCTCCTCCACCTCGTCCTCCTCTCTGCTCTCCTCTCAATTCCGACGACGATTGCGTGCGTGGCGAGGCTCCTTCCGGCGCTCGCGTCCTTCTCTGTGGGCGCGGCGCTGCAGCAGGCGGAGGTACTCTTCCCGCGGGGGATAGAGCTCATCTTCAACGGCTCCAGCGCGCAGATCCGGCCAATCGCGCCGGCTGCCGACGGCGCACCCGCGCGCGACGTGGCAGAGGAGGAGGCAGGCGCGGACGACGACGAGTTCGTGTGCTGGGAGACGGACGGCGCGAGCTGGTGCGCCGCGTCCGCAGGCGAGGGTGAGCTCACGCCCATCCTCCTCCGCCTGCCGCCGCTGCTGTACGACCTCTTTTACTCTGACCTCCCGCCGCCGTTTGGCGCTCCGCCGGCGAGGGTGTGCGCGCCGCTGCTCGGCGAGGACGAGGACCGGCTGCTCGACCCGTACCCGTTCGTGAATGAGTTTGCCGCCGGCCAGGAGGCCGAGGCGCGGCGCGGCCTCCGCTCCCTCCTCTGGGGCGCCGGCTGGGAGCGCACCTCTGTCCTCGACGCGAGGCCGCACCAGGACGTGCGCCGCTACCTGTACCGCCTCCGCTTCGCGGAGGACGCGCGGCGCGGCGCGGAGGGGCGGGGCCGCTCGGCGCTCGACGTGCGGCGCACGCCGGCCATTGCGCTCGTCGCCAGCGAGGCGCTCGAGTCGGCGGGGCTGGTCGCGCCCGCGGCGCGTGGCGACGGCGGCGAGGAGCGCGCAGCCGTGCGCAGGCGGATGCTGGGGCTGCGCGCGAGCGTGGCCATCTCGCCGGGCGAGGTGCACGTGCTGCAGGGCTTTACGCCGCACTTTGGGCAGTATTGGCAGTACGAGCACGCGCCGGTGCTCCCGCTCCGCACCACCAAGGTCGAGGTCGAGTCTGGGAGTCTCTTTGGCGCCGCCGCCGCGCACCGGCCAGTTGGGCTCGCCCTCTCGATGCTGTGCGAGGAGCAGGTCGGCAGCGGCGATCCGAAGGGCGGAGGCGGCGCAGAGGCGGCGGCCGTGGTTTGCTCTCGCGATACGGCCGCCGCGGCGACCGACGCGTTTCGCTCTTCCTACCCGCGGCTGGTTGCTCTGCTCGACGGCGCCCCCGGGCTCCTCGTGCCGCTCGCCGCGGCAACTGTCGGGCTCGTGGGGATCGGGCGGCAGCTGCTCTACACGCTGCCCACCTTTGCGGCCGTGCACGTGCCTGCCGTCTACCTGACCGTCAACTTGCTGCGGCACGTCGACACCGCGCCGACGCCCGTCCGGGTGGCGGCCACCCTCGCCGCGTACGGCGCCACGCCGCTGCTGCTGCTGGACGAGGCGGCGTCGCTGAGCGCGTCGCTCCTCGGCTCGCTCCGCCCGCTGCTGGCCGACGGCGCCTTGCTCTGCGGCGCTCTCGGCGGCGCGGGACACGTCCACGACACGTCCATGACATGCCCCACAGGCGGCTGGCTCTGCGACCCGCTCGACGAGTCGCGAGGCGAGGCGCTGCCTTCTCCTACCCCTGACCCTAACCCGCTCGACGAGTCGCGAGGCGAGGCTGTCACAGAGGCGCTGCCTTCCGAGGCGCTGCCTTCGGCGCCGCCACCCGAAGGCAGCGCTGCCGGCTCGGAGGCGGCTGGCTCTGCGCCCGCCGACCCCGGCGACGGCGAGGAGGCGGCGGAGGGGGCGGCGGACGGCGGGGCTGAGGGCGGCGCACAGGCGGGCGGAGGGGCGAGGGAGGTGGTGCTCACGAAGCCAGAGGCGCACGTCCCCTTTGGGCTCTCCCTCCGCTCCGATCCGCCGGCGAGGTTCGGCTCTTCCCCCGACGAGGCCGCTTCGGCCTCGAGCCACGGCGCGCTGCAGGTGGAGTACGTCGAGCCCGGCTCGCTTGCGGCGGCGGCCGGACTGCGCGCAGGCAGCCTCTGCATGGCGTCTCGCGGTCTTCGCGGGCCCTCTCTCTCTCTCGAGTTGCGCGACGCACGGCTGTAGGCGAAGTCATCCTCGCCCTCAACGGCGCCCCGGCGGTCCGCGGCGCCGTCACGTCTGCGCAGGAGATGCGCGCCGCGCTGCAGGTGAGGATGATCGTCGCGCCGCCGCCGAAACGCGCGCCGCCGCCGCCGCCGCCGCCGCCGCCGCCTCCGCCCGAGCTGCCGTGGCGCTGCCAGGGCTCTCTCCTCGACGGGGCTCTCGGCTGGGCCGAGGCTGCTGTGCAGTGGCTCAGTTCGGCGTTTTGGCTTCGGCTGCTCGGGCTGTGCGGCTGGTGCTGCTACTTGCGATGGCACCTGAGGGCGCGGGAGCGCGAGGCCGAGTACCGCGAGCGCGGCGGCCGGCGCGGCCCGTCGGGGGCCCAGATCGGCACGGCGGCGGGTGCGGACGGCGGTGGCGACGGCGACGAGCCAGTGTGTCGCATCTGTTTCGCGGGCGCCGAGATGGGCAAGCTCGTATCCCCGTGCCTCTGCAGCGGCTCGATGCGGTTTGTCCACCTCGAGTGCATCGACACTTGGAGGCGCACGTCGGCGAACCCGCGCTCCTACTACCAGTGCGACAATTGCCTCTACCGCTACTCGTTCCGACGCGCGCTGTACGCGCAGGCGAG